CAGGGCTTCACCTCGTAGTTCAGCCTGGCCCTGAACTCACTATGTAGCCCGGGCTGGCCTTTGATTCAGGGTGCTATCCCTGCCTCAGCCTCCCGAGTGCTGGGATTAAAGGCGTGCACCACCACGCCCGGCTTATGTCCCCTACTAGGTGGTTGTTACACATACATTTGATTCTTAAAACATGTAAGAAACACTTATGCAATAAATTACCAGACTCCAAACACATTTTCCCCTTTCTTTCACAGATGGCACCTGCCTTCTCAAGTCCTGTGTTTGCCCATTTCAATACTCTTCAACACTTTCCACCACAAAGTAGCTTCATACTAAGCTACTTCCCCAGCTCTTTTTAAAAAATCTTTAGACAGTGTCTTGACAAGTTCCCCAAGCAGAATTCAACCTAGCCATTCTCCTGCCTCAGCCTCCCACACAGTTGTGTGCCATAATGCCTGGGTTTTGTTTTGTTTTTTGTTTTTTTTAACTTGTTCATGACACACTAAAGGGCTATGACGAGAGTATAAAAATGTTCTCCAACCAGGCATGTAAACCCAGCACTTGGAAGGCTGAGGCAGGAGGATTTCCTTGAGTTTAAGGCCAGCTAGTACTACATAGTGAGTTCAAGGCCAGCCTGAATAGAGAGACTGTGTCTCAAAATAAAAAATTAAAATATATGTATATGTATGTATGTATGTATTCTCCTAAATCCTAGCCAATTAGGAGGCTGAGCCAGGAGGCAGGAGGATGAGAGCTCAAGGTCAGCCTGAGCAACATAGCAAGACCCAATCTCAAACAAACCAACCTAACCCTCTCCTATCTTACAGTCCAGGTAACAATAGAATATGTGCAATACCTCTCTTGATAAATGCTTAGGATGAAATACTGCTTGGCTGCTCATTCCGTTCCTGACGGTTGTACCTTCACGTATGATACACAAGTTATCTTGACATCATTTTCTACCATATTCTACCATAGCACTTAGAATCACAACCCCCCCACCCACACACACTTCTACCTTTCAAAAATTGGCACTCAGTCAAATAATGATGCCTGAAGGATCCCCTAGATTCCTGTTTCTTACATTATCTTGACAAATTTTAGTGGCATATAAATAAAAATTTCCAGGCCTAATTTGTAACCAAACTACTTATAGATGAATAAAAGTAGGTATGATCGTATTTCTTGACGTAGGTTAGAAGCATGCACTCTGTGGCCTGACAAAACAGAATCTGAATCCTGTTTTTGCCAAATTACTTATCCTGGGTCTCCACTTCTGAATCCATACAATTGGATTGGTACTTACTTCAAAGGATTGACGGGGGTTAAATTGGAGCCTGTAGTCCAGCAAAGAGGCGCATGCCTGTAAATCCACCTACTTGGGAGGCCAAGGCAAGAGGATTGCAAATTTGAGGCTGGCCTGGCATTTACTGAGAGTCTGTCTCAAAAGAAAAAAGGAGGGCCTAGGGATGAAACTTAGGGAAAGAGGGAACTTGCCTCTTATAGGTAAGGCCCAAGTTAAATGTATGCAAGTTGAGTTTAATACAGGTCCTGGGTCACAGTGCTCCACTAAAAGGTAGTAATGTTTGTCACTATAACAAGTAAATGTATCTACAATTTTATTTTACTGTCATAAAGGTTGTCATAAGAACAAAAGTAAAGGTTACTTTTCAAATATCTAGCTATTTTTGAAATTGGATGAATTATAATATAAAATTCCACTGCTGGCTTTATAGATTCCAAACATTCTGAGAGGAAGGCTCTATTTCTGGTGCAGGATAACCATTATATAATAAGGAATGCCTACCAAGACTAAAAGACTGATATACATATGCAAAGACTTGCCTAGTCATGCTAATCTAGATTTAGATTTGTTTTTGCTTAATGCTTTTTTTAAGCACGAGTGTCTGAAGTATGCTTTCATGCACCAAAAATACTGCAGACAATATCGATACATAATACAAGATGTAAATGGGGCTGCTTTTGAGTAAAGCGAAGCCTGGCTCCAGCTGCTTCTATATTCCGCCTTACTTTATCACACTTAGGTTACCTAGATCAAGCTACTTCTAGGTGCTTCTGATTGCCAGAGTTCGGCAGTTAAAAGTAAACAACTACCTTTTCACAGAAGGTATTTCTCTTGCCTATCCAGTCTAGCACAGCATCGCATAATGTCTCGCCCATTCTCCCCGAAACACTGGTGCAGGCTGGACCAGGCACAGGGGAACTGCAACCCTGCCCCGCTCCAACTCAGTTCTTTGCAAAGGACCGGGGCTTAGTTCTGCGTTGAGATAAAGCCTTTCCCAAAGGAATCGAACCCAAAGGGGGACCTCTGGGGACCAAGCTTCGGGGTCTGACACTCCAGACTGTGCGCGTTGAGGGGCGCAAGCACCAAAGAAGGCAGAGAGCCAGAAACACATCTGCAACAGGAGGGCGGCAGAGGTCCGAGGCCGCGTAGAGAGCCGGCCGGTCACCCACCGACCTCTGCGCCCGCTGCCCGGCGGAGACGGCTCCGAGGAGGAGGAGCTGGAGCAGCAGCAGCAGCAGCAGAAGCAGCAGCAGCAGCAGCA